ATTTCTTATACTGCAAGCGGCTCAGGTCCTCAAGGATTTTTCCAGCTCTGCAAACCCAAGATTGCCCTTTGGCTTCACTACTTTGTTGTCTCACAACTTCTTCTGGTTATGCTTAGACAATCATTCTTTCTTCTTTCTCCCTCCTCCATCCATTGTGTTTCTTCTCTCTCTGATCTTGCAAATTCAAGTCCAGCCGTGCTGTGCCTGCTGGATTTCCTCTTTCCACTGACCTACATCATTTCTATTGGCTTTCACTCACTCAGCCTCATTACACCAATCTTCTTCCTCAACCTCATTAGTATTTTCATATCTTTGTGGCTTCACTTTTTATGCCATCTGCTATATCCTGCATGACTCATCACTAGGACAACAAGAATCCCTCCTCATGCTAAAGCAACAATAAGCTCAGCAAATTGTCTGCTCTCCTGTCAAAGTGTGGGAAGAACAAAGCAGAATACAAAGGTGGTGCTGAATTAAAATCTGAATGGAAACATTTTTAAAAAAGATATAAAATCCCCTGCAGGTGCCTAACACCCGTTCAATTTTGCTTGATGTTAGCAAACTGAAAATTCTTCCTTTTTAGATGTCTTGGTTTGAAGCTGTTACAGTCCTAAATCTGAACAAATCTGAAATCTTTTCTAGCACATTTTTACCGGTACACACCACTGTAAACATTATTCAGTCTTAAAATCCATCTGCAAATGGTAAGAAGAAAAGGCAGTTGTGAGGGTTTCCGAAACAATTTCTTGAAACTGAGTGAATGGTCATTAAAATGGCAAATGCAATGCAGTGTGGGCAAGTGTAAAGTGATGCACATCGGAGCCAAAAATCCTAATTTCACATAAACACTAGTAGGGACTGAACAGGCAGGGACTGACCAGGAAAAAGGTCATGAATTGTGATGAATAGATCAATGAAAATCAGCTATGAGTAAAGCAAATTTTATACTAGGGATGATTAGGGAATGGACTTAAAATAAAACTGCCAATATCTTTATGCCATTATTCAAATCTATTGTGCAACCATGTTTGGAATACAGTGTTTGGTTCTGGCTGCTGCACCTCATAAAGGGTATTGTATGGTTGAAATAGGTTCAGTATTAAGCAATTAAACGATCAAGGGGCTGGAGTGACTATCCTATTAAAAAGGGTTCCAACATTTGCAGCTTTTTAGTTGGGAGTACAAGGGAAGGGGAAACATGATAGAGCTGTGTAAAATTATGCATAGTTTGGAGAAAGTGGATAGATAAAGGAATTTAATAAAGAGAGTTTTCTTCATCTCTCAGAATATTAGAATCTGGGGTCACCTAACGAAGCTGAATATTTGAAGATTCAGGACAGGTAAAGTACTTCTTCATGCTGCACATTGGGAAACTGTAAAACTCACTGGCACTTGGATCACTTTATAAGGCTAGACTTTGGTGCATTTGATGGACTTGGAGCCAGATCTAGCAGGTTCTTCTTCTGTTTTTATCCTCAGAAATATGAAGCATGGTCCAAATTAAGTTATGCACATGTAGGTCTGATCAACTTTGATAGGTGAAATAATGCATTTGGGAATGTTTGATTTATGAAATAAACATTTAAATATAACCCACAGGGGGAAAAATGTCAAAATAACAAGGCTGCTCCCTGTTCCATCAGTTACTCAGGGTTCAAATTCGTTTTCCTGGCTCAATGCTGCTTTTTAATGTGTGCATTATGAGGTTGTTTTCTGCTTGCTATCAATAAATCCCACATCCACTCTCCATTAAGAGGTGTTGGAGAGTTACTTTCCTGCATTTCACAGTATGTTACGATAATGAGCACAATTAGTGATGACTATTTTCATTTCATATATTTATTGCTTTGTTTGGCTAGGGTGAGATTCATATGCCAATATTGCAATATCTTGAAAGAAAGTTCAAGGAACATTAAAGAAATAAGTGAGAAATCAACAGATCAGATCAATGAATCAAGCATGAATGAGTGCTCTCTCTCATTGAATCACAGAGGGATAGTGTAATTAGTGTGTAGCAGCAAATACAATATTGCAACATTGTAAAGACTAAGAGGGATAATGTGCTTAAATGCATATAGATTAGGGTTCATCAAACACATGGAGCATTATCCTCAAGTTGGCAGACAGATATATGCATGTATCTCTTATATATCTGTATGGTGTACACACAAACACATACATATACATATATACATAAACCTAGAGATGAAATGAAAAAGAGAAAAGAAAAGAAAAGAAAAGAAAAGCTGTAGGTCATGAAATGTAGGAGGTCCACTGGCCAATACAGTGGTACCTCAGGTTACATACGCTTCAGGTTACAGACGCTTCAGGTTACAGACTCTGCTAACCCAGAAATAGTACCTCGGGTTAAGAACTTTGCTTCAGGGTGAGAACAGAAATCTGGCTCTGGCAGCACGGCAGCAGCGGGAGGCCCCATTAGCTAAAGTGGTGCTTCAGGTTAAGAACAGTTTCAGGTTAAGAACGGACCTCCAGAACGAATTAAGTACTTAACCCGAGGTACCACTGTATGTGTTTGTTACCTTTCTACGTAAAGCTTACACAAATACAACATAAGAAACGACCTATTCAAGACAGCGGCAATTGGTGGTGCTATCTGGGTAGCAAACTATGGTCAGCTAATTTAACAGCTGCAGGGAGGCATTCCTTCTGCGGTGCATGGGTCACTTCTGATCTTACATGCTTTTGAACCTTGAATAGTAATAGCCTTTTGGTCTCATTCTTTTCATTCCTCCCTCCCTTATTTCTTCTACTTGTAAGCTGCCCAGAGGACTTTGCATTATGGTGCTGAGTTGTGGAGGCTGCCCTGGGGTGCCTTTGTGTCATACCTAGAACACTTTGGCAATAGCCCTTGCAATTATGGCAAAATGTGGAAAAGGAGGATGGCAGGTACTATGTCATCACACAGTGCAGGATGTAAAATACCTGGGCTTTTTGTTTTGTTTTGTTTTGTTTTGTTTTGTTTTGTTTTGTTTAAAGGAGGGAAAATTGAGGTATAAAGCCAGGACAATGGAAAGGCTTGGAAAAATAAAATCAAGCCAATACTAAGTTAAACAATTTACTGCCCCAGTGACCACCATGTAAGGTGTGGGGGCTGTAGTTGTTAGAACCTGGATCTCTCTCTCTGATGCCACCACAGCTCCAGAGGCAGCAGGTACATGTTCCTCCTGTTATCAATGCAGTATATTATTTATACCAATTTACTTGTTTATTTTATTTTTTATTAAATTTATATACTTCCCTTCATCCCAAGATCACAGGGTGGTTTACAATATAAAAGCTATTTAATGTTACACACACACACACACACACACAGAGAGAGAGAGAGAGAGAGCTCTTTTTACAATGCAGCTTTAAAAAAATTAAAACACCTATCGATTTATCGCCCATTGATGCTTGTGTTGTTTTGGCCCATAGTCTAAGCCCATTTATTATTCCCCGAAAGCACTTCGTTTAGCACATATTGGTGATTACCACTTTATTATGTTAGGGCTTCGCGCTTGCCACGTTTTTATTAAACACGTTTCAGTTTATGATGGAGAAGGAGGTGGTATTCAGAATTCGCCTAATGCATCTCTCAGGAACCAAAGTCCTCGCTAGTCGTTCAGCACAGAAACAATGACCTCATGCCCCTTTCGGCTACACACACACACAGCGGCTGTGGCTGCTTTATTGTCCCGCTGGGGCTGCGTTACAAACGAGTTCCCCTTCCCTTGCTCTTCCAACAAACGCAGAAGTGAGGAAGGAGAGGGAGGGAAAAGGAGGACTACAATTCCCAGTGTGCCTTTCGACAGCTGCGCGAACAGAAAAGGAGGAGGGAGAGAAAAGTTAGGAGCGAAGGAGCAGCGCTTGGAATCACTGAGGCCGCTGTGCGCATGCGGGCAGGAGCCCTGGGAGAGAATGCCAGCGCAGGAGCTCCTATTCGCAGAGCGGGTTTACGCCCGGTTGTGCGCGTGCGGGCCCGCGCCGCCTTAGGAGCGTGCGCTACGCGATTTGCGCGGCGTTATTGTGAATGGCGGGGGGGAAGGCGGGGTGGATTCTATGCCTTGTATGCATGCATGCATGTATGTGAGTGTGTGCGGTAGTTGGTAGTGGCGGCGGCGGCGGCGGCGGTGGGAGGAGGATGATGTCAGCCTGCGAATGTCAACAATGTAGCGATTGAGGGGAGTAGGCGGCGTTCCATTGGGAAGAGCGCGAGCCACCGGGAGAGTCAGTGGAACCAACAGGACGGGGGCAGCAGCCGCAGCCGCAGCCGCAGCAGCAACAATACGACGCCGCCGGGCTGCGAAGAAGCGCGGAGCTGCCGCCGCCGCCTCCGCCACCGCCTTCGCCTTGTGCACAGAAGCCCCCGAGCGCTGCAGCGGCAGAGCAAGCCCTACGTGGCTCCCCCCTGCCACCTCTCTCTCTCTCTCTCTCTCTCTCTGCCTCCCCCACATCCCTTTTCGCCGTTGCAGCCTCTTCTTCCTCCGCCACCCTCTTCCACTTCCCCGCCCCCTCCCTTTTATATGTCTATATTCATTTCTGTCCCCCCCTCCTTTTATGTCTATGTATATGCATGCCTATATGCGCGTGTACATAGGCATAGCTAAAACTCCTCCTGTGCAAGACTTCGCTTCGCGAGGCAGCTGGCTGTTGTTTTCATTTCATTTTATTTTTTGATCGGAGAGCAAGTCGGTATGTGACCGGCGCCTTCTTTGAGGCGCACATTTTTCTACAGACCACCTCAGCGGCCACCGCGAGAGCCCTCAGCGAGATCCAGTTTGTTTTGTTTTTTTTAAAGACCTAGATAGATAGATATATTTCGCCCCCTTCCCGACGTTGGCAGGGAAAGGACCGGTGGCTTGTCGAAAGTTGCGTGGATGAGAAGGTGAGTCTCGTTCTCTCTCTTTTTCTTCTCAGGATGGGAGGAGGGCGAAGTTTGGCGCCGCGGGTTATCTGGGGGGGAAAGGGCTGCTTTCCTCGCGGCGGGAGGGAGAATGTGCCTGCGCTTTATTTCTCTGCCTTTGCGCCTTTGTATTCTGGCGGGAGACCAGCCTCGCTGATCCGGAGGCTTCAGAAAGTCGAGACGTTGCAGCGCGGGAAGTGTACACGAAGCGAAGCCAGACCTGTTGTGAGGAGGCGGGCGGCCGTGTGTTGCGCTCCGAGAAGATCTGTTTTGTGTGTGTGAATGTGAATTGTGACCGGCACTGCTTTGGCTCTGTTGGGAGTCCCGCGCAAGGGTGGCTTTTATAGGTGGCTGGGGAGGAGCGAAGCGGAGGGAGGGGTGTGTGTGTGGCGTGGAGAGGGTTAGGCCTGCCTTATACAGTGGGCATTTTTTAATTTCATTAAAGCTTCCGTCCCAGCGCGCCAGGGGAAAAGTGGTGACTGCCCTGTGCATGCCCGGGGATGGGTGTTTTGAGCAAGCCGCAGGAGGAGGAGCTCAGGATAGTAAGTCGGAAAGCGGGGAAGGGGAGGGGTGGAGTGGAGAGAGAGCGACTCTTGTTTTTCATGCGAGCAGCTGTCAGATTGCGAGGCCTTTTTAACAAGCTGGGAAAGAGGGAAGGGGGAGTTGGCAGGCAAATATTCCCTGGCCTTGCACATCTACTTTTATGAATTCTCCCCTTCCCCCAAATGTGTCTCCGGTGCATTCCAGTTTTCCTGTGTTGCAACAGCGACTTGATGGTTCTCAACTGGGGTTGGGAAAAGCTTGTGCAGAACCTGGGAATGCCTTGAGACAAGTTCTAAGAAAGGAAGAGGTTGTGTTGTTGTTGCTGCTGCTGCTGTTTGCTTCAGGTGGTGCTGAATAGTGAGCGGGCAGAGAGGAGATGGGTTTCTTTTTGTGAGCTTGTTTTGTTTGTTCAATCTGGGTGGCTAAATGCTTCCTGCCAGATCCTTATTAAAGCCATCCAGCATGGGCAAGGCATGCAAAGCTGCTCGCATTATACCCGCTGCTTCTGCCCTCATCCTCTCATTGGGGCTTCCTATTCATAAGTCAATATGGATTGGGGATGTCAATCTGGTCAGCACCTCAAATCCTTTCTTGCCTTCCCTTCTCCCTCCCTTTCCTTCTTTGGAGCATAATAGGAATAACTTTGTGGTGCATTGCAATGAAATGAACACTTTGGGAGTCAATACTACATTGCAAGTTCCTGTGTATTCAAAGGCAGTGTCTAGTATTATTCTGTTGATTGCTTTGAAGAGAAATTTATGTTCTGTTTCCTCCCAGAGAGAGATCTGGAGCATGCATTTGTGAAAGTACTTGGGTCACTGTGTGTAAATGTGCATACTTAGGACATCAAAAATGATTGCTTCATTTATAGCGTCAGGCTGCCAAATCATTTAATTACTGGAAGTGCCTTGTGGCAAGCAAAACTCTCCTTTAAATTATTTGTGACAAACGTTGGAGGATGCATTATTGTAACACAAAAGATTGTGCCATAGTTTTTTTAAAGAGTGGTTTCTATATCAATTTAATCTGTTGAGTTGCACAGCAAAGGATAATTACTTCCCAACAAAATATCTCACTTGCCTAGTGGGATCCCAAAATAAGATAATGCCAAATGAAAGACCACATTTTTCATCTCTCTCTCTCTATTCTGTATAAAGTTGGAGAGAGATGTTAACGCCGATAATTATTTTCCCAGATCATTAAAATGTAACATACAGACCAGGCCTCTTAACTGTAAAGGCTTTGGCTGTCATGAAGTAAGCTAAGTGTGAAATCATGCCTCTCCTTTTGTGGAACAGGCTATTTTTGTAAATCACCAGGCGTCTTTTTTAAAACGCTTATTGTGAGATCATTGGGCTTTTCATTACTGAGGCACTGGCAGATTTTGAGTAAACTTTTTTTTCTATTTTAGATTATCAGGATGTGGAAGTGACACCTTCTTACATGGAGGGGCCATAGTTTAGTGACAGAGAACATCTTTATGTGCAAATAGTCTCTAGTTGAATTTTTTGCCATCTCTAGTTAAAAGGAAAATAGGTGACATGACAGACCCATCTCTGTTTGAGATCCTGGAGAACTTACCAGTCAGAGAAGACAATGCCTGGGACAGATTGGCACATGACTTAATGAAAGCAGAGGCAAATTTCAAACCAGGAATTTCTTATTTGTGGCTCAGCCACTCAATCACTATGCTATACTACATATATACAACACACATAATATGTTGTGCTAGGTACACACGTGTCCTCTATTTGGTACAATTTCTCCCTAGAATTACATAGGAAAATGCTCGTATTTAGGGATTAGGACCATTACAGACCGATCCATTGTATATTCACTAAAAATAAGTCCAGTGCTGATCAGTGCACTTACTCCCTGGTAGGTGTGAACAGAAGTGCAGTCTTGGCCTACATTCAAAAGCACATAGAGTAAAATTTTCATTGATCTCAATGGGGCTTTCTTCTGAATAAGCACGAACAGGATTAGGCAGCCAACGACTATGTATTGTCTCTACTAAAATCATATTTTCTTAGAATAAAATGCTAATAAATGTTATCCTTTGGCAGTAGAAATAATTTAGCACTCTTTTAATATGACTTCCTATGCTAGGTTGGACTATTTGCCAATCTGTGTCTTTCACTATGTCAGTTCATAGCGTTATGAGCGTGAGTCGGCTGGGTATTGGGCTCACATGAACCCTTCTCCCCTGTCTTCCTTTGATCTAGCTGCAAAAAGGCAATTGGAAGCTTCAACTTCCACTTCCACATTTTAAACTAACCAGAGTTAGTTACATATGGATTTAGGGGGATTTTGGTTTGAGTAAACTGTTTTTTTCAAATAAGCCATGATCATGCTATTGAGTATTATCCTGGCTTGTTCTAAAACCATAGCGTAAAAGTAAATACAAATTAATTTAATTAAAAAGTGGTTCTAATCCTCTCCCTATATCCATACCATGGAGCGAGAACATGTGAGCCGAAGTGTGATAAGTGTTAAAGCTGGCATAGGCAAACTCGGCCCTTTTCTGAAGGGACTACAACTCTCATCATCCCTAGCTAACAGGACCAATGGTTAGGGATGATAGGAATTGTAGTCCCAAAACATCTGGAGGGCCGAGTTTGCCTATGCCTGTGTTAAAGTCATATTTTAGTATTGCACCACAACCCCAGCAAATATAGGCATGACTTGACCTACAGTAGGGATGGGGAACTGGATCTGACTGGTGTTTCAGATCAGTATTTCTCCCATCCCACTCCATGGTCAAGTGGACAGGTGGGCAGGGCCACAATGATGTTAGATAAGCCCCCCATCTTTTTGTCCTCATGGTTTGAAATCAAATATTGCAGTCAAAGACTCAACCTGTAAAGCACGAATGATCAACTGATGTTGGATGCTGTGAAGACCCCCGAGTCAGCTGATTGTCACATCTTGCTACACACTTGTGCATAGCACTTTGCACAGGCCTTTGTAGGCACGCCAAACACTACACCACTTCAGCTGAGCCAGGTCTCTCATATGGTGTTGGGCATGGAGCAGATAAGCATGATGTGATCAAAATGGCCTCATGAGCCAAATGGGTAAGCATGATTAGGCCCACAAGATGAAGGTTCTCCATGCCTTACCTTTATACATTATTGTGCTTTATAAATGGCTAAGCCTGCTTCACTCATTAAGATTCACTCGTGTCTTTTTTTTTAATTGAGTAACAATTGTTATTACCCATTTGAAGCTTATGTAAGTTCAACACACATCAAATATACCCCCCCCCAAAAAAAAATTAATAGAGATGTACCTTAGATGTTTATGTCAGCATTGTAGCTTTTTGGATATGGCAATGAATAGATTTTAAGGAAACATAGCTAATAAAACAAAATGCTAATACATTTTAGCCTGTAAACAGTAAATAATACTCCAATTATTTTTTTAATGAATGTCAGAATTGTAAGACGGTGCCAGTTCTGCCCTGTTGTAGAATACTTCCTCACACTTCAGCCCAAATTGAGATATGTCGTTGAAAATATTGGATGCTTGACATCAAATTCTTAGTGTAAAAGGGATGGCATTTTGTTTTGTGTTTCTTTTTCAACTCCCTGCTTTACAAGCGTGGGAATAAGAGTAGGGATTGTACGTTGGTATTCCCAGTTCTGCAGATAACTTGTTCTGTGACATGCTTCATTTTCTCAAGCTGTACAGGTAATGCCTACAGCGATGTTATAAAGATGATTGATGTTTTCAAGAGAGTTAAGAGATCTCTTGATGAGCAAATACTGTAGAGGTTCAAGCAATAGCTGAGGTAAACTCCAGACCTAATTAACTTCTGGAAGGTATGCATTCATATGCAACTGTAGGCAGGAGAGACAGGTTGAGGTGTGGAGGGATGACTACACACTGCTTCTTAACTTGCCACTAGAGAGCCTTGTGGGAAACTTGCAGTGCAATCCTGTGTATGTTCACTCAGAAGTGAAGTTCAATAAAGCTGTGAATAAAATTGCAGCCTTAATCACAAAACCCAAAGGTCTGGGTTTATCCAGACAAAGAAATGCACATGTGACCTTTTGTGAACAACCTCTGTGTGAAAACAGAGCAGGTAGTGCTTTTTCACCCAAAGACAAATCTCAGGGGATATTCTTACAGTGGTGGCCCATGTATAAAAATGCAGCATATGCACATTCAGAAATGGATACGGTCTGGGGTAAAATTGTTGCATACTTCAGCTGGGAGCTTAAGAACTATACAACTATTTCCACACGCTCAATGAACCTTTGGCTTGGTATTTTTGAATGGCAGCCCTCCCCCATCTAGGGTGGCAAACTGATTTTGAAATGTAGTTGATTTTCAAAAGCAGCTAAAGTGATAATGGCAGTTGGGAAGGGAGGGGGGTTTGCTGTCTAAAGAACACTATTCAAAAGTTTGGCTCTGCATGCACACATGTCGTTAAACATATTTAAAGTAGATCTTTGATCCCAGCCTTGATATGGAAGAAACTTTTTTGGATGATATCTCTGGTTTTGACATTCTCAGTTATGCAGCAGAGTTCATTACATGAACTTCCCGTTCTTGGAGCTTCTGCAATAATTATGAGTTAAGCCAAATTTCTTTGGAGTTCAGACTTGGCTTCTGATTTGTTCAGCCTTCCTATCATTGGTTTTTGCCACAGCTACTGCCAGCCCCTTCTCTTTCTTATAAAGTAGAACAGATGCTGCTGTAGCTTTCATTTGATACCTGCATTCTGGGTGCCAAGACTCTAGGAAATATTGTCTTCAGTGTCTTTCATAAAGACCCTGGAAGATACCTTGAAAAATACAATT